TCTCTGTTTTTATTTCTTGTACTATACCAGTTCTGGTGCTACAGGCCTGTAATCATGCCTACTCAGGAGGCTGAGTCAGGGAGCTTACAGGTTTAAAGATGACCTAAGTAACATAATGAGATGCTATCTCAAAAGACAGATGCAGGGTATGTAGCTCAGTGTTATTTGGTGTACACAAGGCCCTGGCTTTATCTCTAAGTTTTTATCTCTTAGTTTTTATTGTGAAAACTAAGGGAAGCAACTACATTATTTCTCTATTAACATAATTTCGTGTCCTGGAATCTTCCTGTTGGCCCTCTTAATTGGTTCCATTGATGTTTGGTGATTGGCAATAACATGTTTCTGTAATATTTTATTGTTTTGTTTGTTTCAAGGCAAGGTCTCACTGTGTAGCTCTGACTGTTCTGCATAGACCGGACTGGCCTCGAACTCAGAGATCCACCTGCCTCTTCCTTCCTAGTGCTGGAATTAAAGGCATGTGCCACTATGCCCACCTTCCCTGTAATTTTTGTTTTTTCGAGACTGGGTTTCTCTAGCTTTAGAGCCTGTCCTGGTACTTGCTCTGTAGACCAGACTTGCCTTGAACTCACAGAGATCCGCCTATTTCTGCCTCCCAAGTGCTGGGATTAAAAGGTGTGTGCCGCCACCACCCAGCTTTCCCCTATAATTCTTTTTTTTTTTTTTCCCTCTCTAGATTTCCCTGTCATGATCCCCCTGTAATTCTTAAGGGAGGTATTTTTGTAAATTTTAACAACTGAGGCTTCTTTTTATGAACTGAAATGAGACTGTTCCTTATTAGACGCTGCCTTCCTGGGAAGCGTGTATGTTTCTGAGTTCCATCACAAACTTCCCTTTCAGTTTACTTTCTTCCCTTTGGGCGTCAGTAGGTTTGACCTTCCATTGTATCAGTTCTGTCTTCTGCTATTTTTAAATCTAGTGGTGGTCTCTGATCGAAATAATGATCTACACAGATTTTTACAAAGTTACTAAAAATGTATGCTACTGTTTGTATATGAATTGGGATCCCATGTTGATGTGATAAACAGTTTTATAGACTCAGATATTGACTGCATAGTTTGGATTGTAGGGTAGGACTACCTAAATGTGAAATTTACTGTATCAGCATTGTTTAATATAAGGTACAGTGTTATGAGAAGCTACAGTGACATATGCTCTCTGCTGGTCATTTGGTAGATATCTAATAAGACCTTGCTCTCTCCCCAGCTGTGATGGGTGCAGTGGTGGCTCCTCTGACGATCTTGGGGGGGCCTCTTCTCTTGAGAGCTGCATGGTACACTGCTGGTATTGTGGGCGGCCTCTCGACTGTGGCCATGTGCGCACCCAGTGAGAAGTTTCTGAACATGGGAGCACCCCTGGGAGTGGGCCTGGGCGTTGTCTTTGTGTCTTCACTGGGTAAGCTGCTGCCCTTTGAAGGGTTCGGGTATCCTAAAGCATTAAGATTTATTTTTGAAAGTTGTTTTAAAGATAGGCTAAATTGATTGGGTTTGATTATTTGATAACATAAAATCTTGGCTTATGGTTAAGAATTCGTTTTATTAAGTACCTCTTAAATGATTAAGCTGACTTGTAAATTGTTCTAATGTTGGTAAGTAACCCATTAGAAGAATGGTGATCCATGAGATTGCTTATCAGATTTACCAAGGTAGTGTTAAATAATGGAAACTGCAAGTCCAGTTGCAAGCTGTATATGTAATACGTCCTCTTTTTCCCTGTTTAGGGTCTATGTTTCTTCCCCCTACCACAGTGGCTGGTGCCACTCTGTATTCAGTGGCAATGTATGGTGGATTAGTTCTTTTCAGTATGTTCCTTCTATATGATACTCAGAAAGTAATCAAACGTGCAGAACTAACACCAATGTATGGAGTTCAAAAGTATGATCCCATCAACTCGTAAGTAAACCTTACTGTTACTGCTATATTATATAGGTATGGCTGTTTGGTTCCATGTGTATTAGTTTCACAGGGTACCACCATAGCAAAGAAGCATAAGATAGGTGGCCTAAAATTTATTATCTTTAGGTAGGGCATGGAAGACAAAGCCAGGCAGATTTCTCTGAGTTCAAGGTCATCCTGATTTACAGGACATCCAAGGCCTTTACACAGAGAAACCTTGTCTTGAAAAACCATAAGATGAAAAATTTATTCTCTTTCCCAAGGGCAGAGCACTAAAGGTGTCAGCATGGTAGGGAATTTTGAAGGCCCTAAGTAGACATGTCCTCTGAGCTCTTATGTCTCTTAGCTGCTTAGCACTGTTGATCCTTGACTAGTAGGTGCCCACCTTCATCTTCACCTGCCTTTCTCCCGTGGTGTGTGTCTCTTTTTTCTTTTTTTTTTTTTTTAAAGATTTTCTTTTTTTAATGTTCATTGTTGTTTTTCCTGCATGTCTTTGAGGGTGCCAGATTCACTGGAACTGGAGTTACAGACAGCTGTGAGCTGCCATGTGGGTGATGGGAATTGAACCCAGGTCCTCTGCAAGAGCAGTTGGAGCTCTTAACTGCTGAGCCATCTCTCCAACCCCATTTCTCTTACTTTACAAAAGCCACCAGACATACCCTTTTCCAGTGTGGCCTCAGTAACTCACATTGTAATTGTATCTTTATTGATTTGTTTTGTTTTGGGTTGTTCTTTTAAGACAGAATTTCTCTTGTGTAACTCACCTGGCTGTTGTGCAGCTCACAGATCTGCCTGCCTCTGCCTTAGGAGTGCTGAGATTAAAGGTGTACTCCACCACTGCCCACATAATTATATCTTTGAAGATTATATTTCCAAATAAAGACACACAGGACCAGTACGGAGCCTTGCAACAGGTTAAATTAAACAGCTGCTTCTGTTGGAGTGTAGTTTAGGCTGTCTGCTTAGAAAACTGATGGCATTGCAGCTGAGTATAGCATTTAGGTTTCAGTTACAAGTACTGTCTGTTGGAGTGCACGTAATTAATTGAACATTTAAGGAGGGGAAACAAGTTCTGTAAACATTTTTCCTTGTGTTTGTTTTAGACACATTCAACCTTAATTGACATTCAATAATATAAAATAAAATAATGTTTTCACTTTTCTTGAATTCTGCCTAGAGTTTTAAAGTGTCTCTCACATTTTTATGATGCTCTCCTTTATCTAAAAATAAAGTAATGTAATAAAAATAAAGCATTTTAAAAAGTTGCTATAACACTTGGGGCTTTATAGCAGCTTTCTTAAAGGGGATGAAAAGGATACATTCTATTTGAAAATGCCAGACTGTGTCTTGCAAGTTTCTTAAATGTGTGTTTCTTTGATTTGTTTTGGTTCTTCTGTTGTCTTAACACCCAGGTTTGATGCTCTTAGCAGGATGTCAAAGAATACATAATCCTCTTAAAAATTATGTTCTGCATTTAAAAGGTGATTCTACCAGAAGGAAAACTGAGCATTATCTAGTTTAGAGCCATAACTGACATTTAAACATTGTATTTTTAGTTTCTGTTTAACAACACTAGGAATAATGAGTATTATTTTTCCCATTTTTTGTACTAACAATTAGATTACCAGCGTTATTATTAGAGTCACAGCTTTCTATAATTTTCTTTTCTAGGATGTTGAGAATCTACATGGATACATTAAATATATTTATGCGAGTTGCAACTATGCTAGCAACTGGAAGCAACAGAAAGAAATGAAGTGGCCACCTCTGGTATCTCTGCTCACTCATGCTTGCTTGCTTATTAGGAGCAGATAGTCATTACAGTTTGCACGAGCAAAACTCCTTTGTAGAAGCTAAACTGTCACCATGTGTAAAATGTTCAATAATGTGACCCTTCAGGTTTGCTTTTTCTTTTAGAGAATAAATTCAATAGGTGTCTTCGAAATAAGCGCATACATTTTCAACTGTCGTGTTTGATTAACTTAAAAATGATTTGATGAATGTGGGAACTAAAATTTGTGTTACAAGATTTCAAGTTTTTTTTTTAATTTATTGAATAAGTAAAATTTAGTAAATTTGTCTTGTCTTCATATTTTGGGGAGCTTGCAGAATATTTAAGATCCTGAGTGATGAGGTTTTGGTATAAAGATCAGACAGAGGTAAAAAGTCACCTCAGTCATATTGTGAATGCTTAGGAGAACACTGATTGAGATGAGAGATGTCAGGCATCTGAGATGTGGAACAAGTCACCACTCTTCATGGGCTGTGACTGAAGACACAGTTGTTTGTGTCTCTGCTTATCTGTGGCCCTCTGGTGTTGACTCATTGTCAGGATAGTCCAGAGGGTTAATCCTGAAGAGACTTCCTGGTGGAATTATGTATGTGTGAGTTTTATTGTGAAGTCTTCTAAAACAAATGTCCTTATAACTATGTTCACAGTAACGTTCTCCAAAGCACGAGATTTGTTTGCTTTCAAATACATGGTGTGCTTATAGTTTGCTGGTATTTTTCTCTGTGTAGCTGTAAACATGTTTGCTTTTCTCATCACGCTTTGACAGCTGTCAGGAAAGCCTTGTGGCTTATGCTAAGATTAGGAGCTTTTTTTTTTTTCTTTCTAAAACTCTTGTCTTCCTATGTTCTGTCTCACACAGACAGACAGGTTAAGTATGAACAAACAAAGCAAGCTTAGTTGACCTTGGGAAGTATTTGATTGAAAAGAATGCAATGGAGAGGTGCTTTGTTGGCCTGCCTACCAGTTTCTCCCCGTGTTCACCAGTGACATTTGTAAGGTTTTGATACAGCAGTTATGTGTGGGGGGCACTTCAGTGAGGTCTGTATAACTATATGCACAATTGCTATTTTTGATAAATATTTATTACAGTCATCCAGAAATAATTAGTTTAATCATTTTAAAGTACACAGAATGTTTATTTATAAAATAAAAGTTCTAGCAGATGGTGATTGTGTACATTCTTCTCCCTGCAGCATCCGTCTCACTGGACTCTGGGCAAGAGAGCAGCGTGGGCTTTTGCTGCACAGTAGTCCACACTGCAGGGGACTTGCGGCTGGGTGGCCTGCGTCCATTTGAATGTCAGCTCAGATTTTCCCTGATTTCTTATATGACCCTGAACAAATTACCTAACCTCCCCACACTCAGTTTCATCCTTTGTAAGATTAGGCATCTACTTTGTGGGGTTAAGGCTAAACTCAGAAATGGTTGGACATTGTATAAATTTTAGCTATTGCTGCTGGTTTTTATGTTCTTTTTCCCTTAAGTTAAAAAATAGTCTACTGTCTTTAGTGTTCATAAAGTTTCACTGTCATTTTAAGTTGAAATCTTAAATGACCTATTTTCAGTTGCAGTTTGGAGCTCAAACTTTAATATTTCATTTTATATACTTACAAAACAGCAGCATGGTTTCAACAGCAGCCTCTGGTAGAGAATAATAAGATCAAGGGTTCTATTACATATGTGGATGCACACATGTCATGGTGTCCTGTGAGCCTGTGACATTCAGGACAGTTGAAGGGTTCTCTTCCTTCAGCCAAGTAGGTTGCAAGGTTTCGGCTCAGGTCATCGGACTCGGTAGCAAGCACCTTTTACCCACTGTTACTTTGCCTGTCACAGGTGGTTGTATTTTAATGATAATATTTTATAGCGTTGCTGAGCCAATAAAGACTGTAAAGTGAGTTCTATAAAATGTGCTTAGTTAGGCAGTGCTTCTGAAATGGTAATGGAATAACCTGGTATCTTGGATCTTATATCCTGGGTGGGCACGTAGGTATTTTCCTCACAGAATTAGAGTTGACCTGCAAAACGATGGGTTTTGGGCAACAATGGAAATTTTGTATCATTTGAAATCTTAAATTATAACATGTAGGTGGTTTAAAAATCACAGGCCCATGAACTTGCTGAGAAGGGTGTTGGTTTGTAAAACTTATTTTGACAAAACTTGAAAGCAAGTAGTTACTAAGTGGTGTATACATAAATTCACTTCATTCTAGTCAGTGGCAAAGATGTGTGTCTGTCCTGTGCTTGGGGATTTTTGTTTAGTATTTGAAACTTTTATACATATATCATTTTTCTCCCTAGTGCCCCAGACCCTTGCGTGCTCTCTCTTCCTCTCCCTTGGTCCTCCTCTCTCTCTCTCTCTTTTTTTTTTTTGTTTACTTGCTTGCTTGTATTTTGTTAATAACCCATACATACATGGATATAGGGAGTGACCCCCTTGACTGCCATCAGCTACAGATAGCTTGTAGGAGGGTGGGAGCGCAGAGGTCCCTCCATTCTGGAATTGTGACCGGTTGACCGCTGACTCTACAGATGCTGTGAGTTGGTGTGTGTGGTAACCACCTTTAGAACAGCATTCACATCACATGGCACTCTTGCCTACATTTCTTTGCAGACTGTGAAATTCCCTGTACTTTAGGTAGTAGGGCTCCTATAGAGGACTCAGACAGCTGAGCACATACTCATTTATACTCAGTCTTTTAGCCGGTTATGAATCTCTGCATTAACCATGACCCACTGCAAAACAACAGCTTTTCTGACCAAATTTGAAAGCAACGTTAGGCTATGGGTGTTAGCATATATATCTGGAAGTTAGCATGACATTTTAGCAAAACAGATTTTGCCTCCTAGGGCTTAGGATCTCCCAAGTTAAAAGCTTCTCATAATACCAAATAGGAAACCCCTCCTGAGCACAGACTGTATCCATTCTGAAAGCGCTTAGTTACCTTCATAATCTTCTTGCCTGTCATTGCACCAGTGACCACATGTTGCCCAGAAGCCAGTATTGGTAGCATTTGGGTGCAGCATCAAATAAGCAATAGCCTACTCAACACCTAGCACTGTGTAAGTTAGCCCAGATGGCCAGTGGCCTGGCCATCTCAAAGTTGGTTTCTGTATGCCCTGAGCAATAGTGTTTTGCCATCAAGTTATGGTGTACAACAAAGAGCCATGGCACAGCCTATTTGGGCTGCCTCTGGGGCCTACCAGACTAGTAAGTCAAGATCCCGTTCTTGGCACGGAGATTGTCATTTAAACATATCTTCTGCACACAACATTGTCTACTCAGGTTTGTTCAAATTCCTTTCATATGTAATAGGTTACAACTTACTTCCGTAAGACGTCGTGTATCCTTAGTTTTGTCTGGCACCCCCCCACACACACACACCCTCTCCTTACACCCATCACCCTGTTTTCATTTAATTCCAAGGATCCTCTTCCCCCTGTATTCTACTGTCCCCTCTAGTAGGGCTTTTCCCCCTTTGGCTAGAAGATCCTGGGTTCCCATACAGCTCTCCCATGTTCTCTTCTCCTTGGTTGCGTTTTCTCCCCATCATGTTTTCCTCATTCCCCATCCCCTCTATGCCTCAGCCTTTCCTCTCCCAGTATCCTCTCCACTTTCATTTTACCTGTATTTGACTAGTCTCTCCCTTAAGGCATCCAGTTCCAATGGCTCATTTCCAGTTTTCTGGCTTCCACACGTACCCCAGGTTAAACATAAAACAACAACAAAAAGCTAGGATCCACATATAAAAGGAAACATAGCTTTTCTCTTACTTTCCCTGGGTAACCGTTCTATTTTTTTTTTAGTTCTATTTACCATTTATGAAAAAAAATATAATTTTCAGAACTATTGTGTACTAAGTCATTCGTCGGTTGATAGAAATCTTGGTGATGCCATTCCTACCTATTGTGAGTTGGGCTTATTCAGAGCTGCCGAGGTCAAGATATGACAGCAAATGCTTTCGAGGATATGGGTAAAAGGGAATCAATCCTTGGACCCTGTTGAGTGTAAACTAGTAGTCACTCTGGAAATCAGTCTGGGGGTTTCTCAAAACCCCAACTCTATTATTCCTCACCATATTCCAACAGCACTTTCATCCTACTGCAGAGATACTTAGCATCCATCATTACTCTTACCAATTTTCTTAAGGTTATGCCTGCATGCTAGAAGAGGGCACCAGATCTCAATCTCCTTATAGATGGTTGTGAGCTACCCTGAGGTTGCCGGGAACTGAACTCAGGTCCTCTGGAAGAACAGCTAGTGCTCTTAACCACTGAGCCATCTCTGCAGCCAGCCTGTACCTATTTTTAATAAGGCTAGTGAAATGACTCAGCAGGCAGCATGCCTGATGACTTTAGTTGGATCTTCGGGAACCCACCTGGAGGGAGAGAGCAGACTCCTGCAGACTCCCTCTAACTTCTGCGTGTGTGCCCATATGTCTTTTTCTTTTAAGTTTAATTATGTATTTATATTTTATAAATGAGTACTCTGCATATATACCTGCAAACCAGACTTCAGATCCTATTATAGACAGTTGTGAGCCACCATATGGTTGCTGGGAATTGAACCTGGGACCTCTGGAAGAGCAGACAGTGCTCCTAACTGCTGAGCCATCTCTCCAGCCCCTCCATATGTCTTTTTTTAAGGGAGTGGGGCTTCAGAGAGCATTACAAGAAAGAAGAAGCAGGTCAGCACAGTTACATTTTGAAATCATGTTAAATAGGTAGATCTTGGCAATGCAGAATGACTGACTAGATGGTGAATAGAATTCAAGAATGATCTGTTTTCAAGACTGAAATTTGGTGTCCCTGAAGGAATTCTTGGCGCCAAGTGGAAACAGAATGAGTGGCCAGAGGCACGTCAGTCTGAAAGCTTGCAACTGACCACCAGTAACCAGGAGTAGTTCAATAGTGTCCAGAGAAGGCCCTGGACCTTGCTGATCTTGGAACACAGTGCTTAAGGCAGAGACCCTCATTCCTAGAGGTACAGAATTTGGAAGTCTTGACAACCCTTTTCTTCAGAGCTTGAGTCACCCTTCAGATGTCAGCACACCTGAGTGACTCATGAACTAGGGTGGTGTTTTCTGTCAGACATGCTTAATAGTTGGAGCACAAGGAATAACACTTAGATGACTCAAGACTATCCAGAAAATAAAAAAAATCATCTGTAGTGCTTTTAACGAGTTCTGGGAAGTGTTGGTATTTCTGGGAAGACCAGAGGCAACAGGTGTGGGGAGTGGCAATCTACGCAGCAGAGAACTCGACTCCACTGCAGGACCCAATCAAATACTGTGTTGTGTTGGAAGCTATAAAGTCTGCAGGACTTTTTAAGTAGACTAATGCTTCCTAAAGCTGAAAGAAGTTTGGGGTCATCAAGATGACTTGGTAGGTAAGCGTACCTGAGTGTGATTCCTAGGACCCGTGTGGCAGAAGGCAAGAACCAACTTGGGTGTGCTGTCCGCCCATCTTCACAAAGGCCTCGCAGCTCATACACGCTGCATGCGTGTGCCTACACACACAGGCACAAAATGACAAACACCAAACTACAGAAAGGAGATTTTTTGTTTTTTTACTTGTAAATTAGTGAGGATACAGGTAATTTGGTAAGAAAATGGGTAGTCTGGTATATTTTAGCATATCATAACTGCCTCTGGTTATTTTATGTGTATGAGTGCTGTGCCTGCATGAATATATATGCACCATGCATGTGTCTGCTGCCCTCTCTGGCCAGATGCCAGATTCCGTGGAACTGGAGTTAGAGACAGTTGTAAGCTACCTTGTAAGTCTGAGTCAAATCCAAGAGTCCTCTGGAAGAGCAGCCAGTGCCTGTAACTGCTGAACTTTTCTCTCCATTCCCTGGGTAATATTTAAGCATGGAATGCGTATAGAGAGGTGGCGGGAACCATCGAAACACTTGATAGGAAGCTCCTAGGGAAACAGTCAGACCCACTGCGGCACTGGCCTTTAAGCTTTCAGTTCTCCATGGCCCAGCATGCTTTGCAACCTTGAGTCTAGGACTGCCCATCTCCAGCAGCTCCACATGTCTCTATCCTATTCTGGGGCTTCCAGTGGTGGGGAAGCGAGGAGACACCTCTCCTGGGAAAGCTGCTGGTGAGTAGCAAGGGATAGAGAGATGCCAATAGTTTTCATCCTGAGCCTTCTTGCTGTTCTTCAACCCGAAGCAGAAACCTTTGCCACTCACGCTCTGTCCATACCCTCCTTTTTTCCAGAGCTATTATGGGCTCTGCTTGTCCTCACCTCCATCACAGTCCATGTGTCCATGGCTGGTGACGGCACATGCACTCTGGAGGCAGAGGCAAGCCGATCTCCAAGATCCAACCTGGTCCAGAAACCTCCAGGACGGCCAGGACTACATGGAAACTCTGCCTTGAAAAAAAACAATATCCACATGTACAAGTGTTGTCTGTCCCCTGTTATTACTAAGGAAGACCTGAAATTCAAGGTGTGTGTGCCTAGGGACAGGAGAAGGTTCCTACCAAAGCATCAGATATCCTTTAACATGGGCGGTGCCTGCATACCATCTGGAGACAGGTCGTGATTGGAAAAGAAAGAGCTAGCCACCTTATTTCCGGATCTATATCCTAAGAAAGTGAAGTCAGTACGTGGAAAAGGTATCTGTGCTCCTGTATTCCTCACAGCCCTGTTCACAACAGCCACGGTAGAGAATCAACCTGAGTGTCCATCAGTGGCTGAGGAAAGAAAAGGCATCTGGTATATATGTCTAACATAATCCTGCTGGCCCTGAAAAGGGTAAATTTGCCATAAACAACAACCTGGGTATTGTGTTAAATGAAATAAACGAGGCACAGAGCTGAGAGGTGGTGCCGCAGGTGGATCTCTGTGAGTTCAAGTCCGGCCTAGTCTACAGAGCAAGTTCCAGGACAGCCAAGGCTACACAGAGAAATCCTGTCGGGGAGGAGGGGGAGCGGAGCACAGAAAAGAAAGTTCATATATGAACTCTAAAACCATTACACCAGCAAAGCAGTGAACGGTAGGTGGGCTGTTTCCATCACGAGCACACACAGACTGGCATCCCAGCTCCAACACCAACCTGCAGTGGTCATGGAAGTGCAGAGAAAACAGAAGAAAGTCTTCCTGCAAGCCCTTGTGGGGTAGTAGAGGACACGACATTCGGAAAACTTACCTGTCAGTGAAGTACACCCCAGAGCAGCTGCTGCCTCCATGGAAATTCAGGGTGGCCCCAGAATCGAGGCTGTTGGAGAACTATCTGGGGACCAGGAGGTAATCTGAAGCTTCACCACTGCAGTGAGAACAGAGGCCAGCCACGCCCTTGTTAAGGGTAGGGACTGAGGGAACCTCCACAACCACACCCCAACCCCACCACATCCATAGCCTTGTTATTAGCAACATAATGTCCGCATGCAGGCGAGAACAAGTGCATAGAATGAAGGCCTATGAGGAAACGGAGTTCAGGGTAGCTGTAGACAATGCCATCTTGCTGGTTTTCCTCCTCACTGCACATGCACACTAGAACTCTGAGGGAGAACAGCGGCTCTTTGGAACCTGATTAACCTAGCTGCAGGTGAGAGACCATCGGAGGACTGCAAGACCAAGTGAAACTTCACAATCCCCCAAGCAGGGATCAAGCAGAAGGCGAATTCCATGCAGCCCAGAGGAAGGGCTGGGGCCTGAAACCTCTTGTCACCCTCCGTTAGCGGCTGCTCTGAGGTTTGCAAAGCACACAAGAGGGAGAGTCATTTCTGATCAACCACGAGGTCTCTAAAGAAGAGGTAGGTGCCGCCTGAGGTATGGAACTCAGGCCAAAGAGTGAGCAAGCTGGGCGGGGAGCCTGATGGCAGCTTTGTCCGACAGCAGCTTTGTCCTCCCTGCTCCTAGAAACGACAAATATGATTTGAAATGTTTCCTTCCTTATAAAATCCCCCTTGTTTTAGGTGTGCCTTCAGAGAGTCTCTTCTCAGGATGGCTGCCAAGTTTTCAAAGTCATCTTTGGAAATCATCCAAATCTGGGCATTTCTTTTCTTCCATACTAAAATTGCATATGCTTGAGACTAACAGGTGTCCCTATGAAGACACTGCTCCCTCTCACCTCAGCTCGGCATGCGATTCTGAACGTTCTGAAAAGCCAGAGGTGTTTCTTCCTTTTTTAAAGTAAGAAGTTAACAGTTAGCTCTGAAATGTTAAAAGTGAAAATCTGGGAAGCGTGGTTGTCCCTGGGGCTGAGCTTGGAGTATATGTTATATACCCTGTATTATTTTAATTTGCCTCAATACGGTCTTGTGAGCATTTGAAAAAGAGGCAGAATCCCAACACAGGACTCAGTTCTTTCCCCGAAACTTGTGACCCTAGAAAAACCTGCAGATGTGAGAATTGTGTGTTGTGTGGGTGTCAAGCAGAGCTCCCAAGATAGGCAATTCCCTTAACTGAACACTGTCCTTGTGATTTTGTCTTGTGATGAGGAACAAGCTATGCTAAGAACCAAAAGTCTGTTTCTGGTTTCATAGTGGGGTGCTGAGAAGTCCCAGGAGGATGATGGGAGACTGGCCTACTGGGTCAGAAGACCCAAGCAGCCCTCCCCTAATTACTATGCAGTCTGTGTCAGGAACACTTCCAGAGCTGGTGCCCAGGAAAGAGGTGGGGAACCACTGTTAGAAAAAGGGTGCATATTTTCTAGAGGTGATAACTGAGGGGAAAGAGCAACTTAGCTGGAAGAAAGGTAAGGACTGGTCTAATAAGACGTACCGTCCTACAGACCAGGAACCTGAACTAGTTTCTGTGGGTGAACTAACTGTAAAGTTCTTCCACACCTATAAAAAGCATGGGCTACTGGTCCAGATGTCCCCTGAACGTGTTTTCTCGTCAACCATTCTGAGCACGAGCCGAAACTGCTTCTCTGTCCCCACAACAAACAGAGCCCCGGGGTTAAATGTACCATGGGACAGGCACCATCAACAGGCGATGTCTCACTAGTCTACCAGGATCCCAGAGAGCTGGATAGAACGTGACACCCTCCTATGAGACCTGCTAGGTTAGGAACCAGATATCTATTCCTCGATCACAAGAAATATGTCCTATCAAGACAAAGGAGAGTTGTCACCGCACCGTAAGAGCAATCTCAAGTTCCATGTGTGTTCACACAGGCAGGACAGACGCATTAAGGCTCCAGAAACCTGGATGGTTTCCAGAAGGGAGTTCCTACAGGCTGGCCCACCTTCCAACACTTCACACTTCTTAAGCCAGAGTCACCTGCTGCCCTGTGCCCACCCATGTGGAGAGCCCCTCCCATATATGTTCCTTGTACTCTCTTGGCTGCAAGGACATGGTTATGCTTTGTTTCTTAGGTTTGGATCTGAGGGTGTGTAGTGTAGTTAGTTCTCCTTTCCTAGTTAACCTCTTCATGCCAGAGCCTTAATCTTCCAATCATAGCTGGAATGAAAGCCTGCCCTAGGGCCAGGTGACCAGGTGCTTTCCACTCTCAACCCAACCAAGGCATGGCGGAGCTCTGTGCCACCCTCAGCCGCTCAGAGATGCCCACAAGTTACAAAGATGCCACAGACCTGCAGTGTCTACTCTGCTCTCCCTTGGCTCTGTGGGTTCGGGCCGTCTGTCTGTCTCTCAGACCTCACTCTGAGATCTAGCAGTCAACACCAGCCACCATCATCGCCACAGCAGCCAGGAAAGCCTGGGAGAGAAGATTCCTGAGCCGGGTCTGGAAGGAGGAGCAGGAACTGATTCAGGAGTTTGTCCAGAGTTGGGTAAAGGCCCAGCAGAGTGTATGGGAATTGCCCACCGACTATCTCTCATAGTCTGGAGATCTCCTGGTTTCTCTTACCCTCAAGACCAGGGCCTGGTACTTGCTGAGATGCCCATGCAGTATTGCTGAAGGTGCCCAGTGCTTGCCCTGCCCCAAAGGAAGCTGCACTTCGTTCACTCCCTAGGCTTGGGCATGTGTCTTCAATACCACATTCCTAACAGACCATTCCTAACAGAAAAAAGAGCCCTAGGTGTCAAGTCATCTGTCTACCCAACCAAAAGACACCATGCCTCCCTTTTTCGTCTTGGCCCATATAACTCCTCTGTGTTCCAGGAAGTTCACCACAACCTGAATGATCTGCCATACCAGCCACTGCTCTACCCCACCCTGTCTGCTCCATCTCTGCACAGCCTTCTCTGCTTCCTCCCGAAAATGACTAGACAACATCTTTCATGGCATTCGGCATGATACGATGTAGGGTGACAGTCACCTCTTTGCACAGCCACCTCCCGGGCCAGGCACAGTGGTGGAGAGCACATCTCAGTGAAGGGCATGTGTCTAAGGGATGGGTGACCTAGCATCCTGTATCTGTGACACGTTTCCTTATTCCTCCAATCAAATTCTCCCCGTGCCATGCCTTGCTCAGGCGAATGTGTGACACTCTTTTTATCTAAGAACCTTGCCAGTTGCCCACCAGGGGCTAGCTGTGGCCACCACACAATCTAACAATGGCACGAGTGCCCCGCTTGGTACAGACGACGTCTGGAGCATGTTCTCATGCAGCTCTGTATCCAACCACATATGGACAGCAGACCCAGCGACATTTAATGACAGCAAGTTCAAGATAACGCTGCTGATAAGTGGGAGAGAAAGGATTCAAACCCAGACTGTTTGGCTCTCCCTAAGGCTTTGCCTGTGGTTTTATGGCTCCTTTCCCAGCCATATTTGCAAGAAAGCAGGAAGGTCTTCATTTGATGGAATTATTGCTGACTCTAAAAGTTAACGTTCAACCCCGGACAGTGGCTTTTCCTTCTCTAACCACTGAGATCACCATAGCACTCAGGGCTACACATTGACAAGTCCCTGCAACAAGTCACCTAATCCTTCTGGCTTCTTGAAGAGCTGGTTTATTGTCCTGTTGGGAGGGGCTGGGTGTGCTTAGGAGACTTCTAGGGCTGGGAAGCCTTTCTATGGAGGAACGCCTCTCTCTGTCAGTCTATAAATGTCTTCAGCGGCCAAAAGGAGGCCTTCTGTGGCGCTGCTCCCTCCCTAGCTTTGAGACTCCAGCTATTTCACCATGAGACTTCTAGCCCTTTCCAGTCTGCTCTGTGTGCTTCTTCTCTGCTTCTGCATTCTCTCCTCAGAAGGTAAGGCTGCGCTCCGGGCCCGCTCTAGTCCCTGAGTAGTGATCCCATGGTCTGGGAAGGTTCCAAACAGGAACTAATGGGGATCAGGTGCCAGCAGACAGTCCTGAACCCGGGAAAGAACTCCACAGATATTCTGTCCACCACAGTGGGCAACAGGTAGCTTGGGGACTTCAGGCTTTATAGCTTCTAAGCACAACCCTACACTCCCAAGCATGCTGAGGGTCTATCTACTGTACAAACTAAGGGTTTGGGCATGAGCTTTATAAATTAAGGGGTTTTGACACAAGACGTATAAACTGGGGACGTGATTGCTCCCAGGTATGGCTGAGAGGAACATTTTCATTGTACATATAAGGTACGTGCTGCCAGAGACATCTAGAAGAGTCCAGAGAGAGGAAGTAGCAAACTGAATGCGGCCAGAAGAACGGACCTGGTCATGAGAGGAGCGAGGGAGAGGGAGAGAGGAAGACAAAGGAAGCCAAGAGAGAGGACAAAAGAGAGAGTGCCTAGCTGAAATGGCAGGGTTATGTGAAAAGGAGAAGCTGGGGGAGGGAAGCCCGTTTAGGGTGGGGCAGGGCCAGAAGAACCATGGGTAGTTGTTATACCCTGAGAGAGCCTGGAGGTCGGCATGTGCTTAGTATGCCGATAGACACCACCACAGCCAGTTGTCCCTTCTGAAAGTAATAAGAAAATGGTTTCTTTGCTTGAGGAAGTTGGAGGGAGTGGAATTTGCTTTGTTACCTGACACCTGGGTGCTTACCATGCAAACAGAAGTCCTTTCAGAGAGCTGTTCACTTGATTGGGAAGTCAGTTGACCTCTGTTGCCACTTGTGTTGTGTTGGGGACAAAGTAAATAAGTATCTCAAAGTCTTACGCACAGAAAGCCCCATGGGCAGATCGAATGAGGTTATGCATAATAGGGGGATATGCGTTTGGGATGTTGCTGTGTGCTCAGATGCAGGAAACATACATACATGATCTTTCTGTCCCTGTAGAGATGAATATCTCTGTTTCTGCCTTTAAGATGTATTTGATTTACCTGCCTATGTGTGGATGGGCCACACATGTGCAGGTGCCCTCCAGGCCAGCAGAGGGTGCTGGAGTCCCTGGTGTTGGAGTTACAGGTGGTTCTGAGTCACTCAAATGAGTTTTTGAAACCAAATTTGGGTCCTCTAGAAGAGTGGTAAGAGGTCTTAAAGCTCAAGTCCCCTCCCCATCACCTTACTGCTTTCTTCATTCTAAAGGCTGAGTATTGGAGCCTTTCTCTCATACTTAACCTCCAACTACTTTCTTCCTTCCCCTAACTGACCTCATCCTGTTTTTTGTTTGCTTGTTTTGGACAGTGGTTGCTTGTTTTTAATAATGTCCTTGTTTGTTTGTTTCGCTTTGTTATTTTATTTTTCAACACAGGGTTTCTCTGGGAAGCCCTGGCTATTTTCACTCTGTAGACCAGCGTGGTCTCGAACTCAGAGATCTGCCTATCTCTGCCTCCCCAGTGCTGGGACTAAGGGAGTGAGCCACCATTGTCCAGCTTTTAGCAAATGTTCTTGAACTCTGGGTCTTGTGAGTGGAAGCCCTCTCAAGTTATCCCCGTACAAATTGGCATGATGGTGGCCTTGGCCTGCTAATTGGAAGGTCTGTATCCTATTACTTCTCAGGGAGAAGGCATCCCCCCAAGTTCTCAAAATCCAGACTCTGCTGCTACCCTTTTCCTAGAGCCAAACAGGCAAACCGGAAAGGTAAGTAACCTCATCCTGTCTGGGCTGGGAGTGGGAAGATTTCTAGGGTGGTCATGGGACAGGCCAGATCTGTGATCAGCCCGAGCCAGTGCCTTCTGTCAAACTCTAGTGCAGAGGAACCACATTCATTCTCAGTCACGCAGAGTTTAGAGTCTTCTGAAGAGGCAACAACTTGGCCATTTAAAACTGAACACTTTCTGTCAAGAAAAACCTCTTAAGAATGGTATAGGGACCAGGCATGCCCAGAATTTAGAGAAGCTAACAAAAGATGACGATGAATTCTGAGAGCAGTGACACAATGAATTTAAGGCTCGAGAGCTGGGGATATGGCTCAGTCGGTGGGGGAATGCTTGCCTAGAAAGTTCAGGGTTCTGGGTTCAATCCCCATTGGAAGAAAAAGAGGAGAGAGGAGAGGTGGGGAAGCACCCATCCCTGGATGGGAGGCCTCAGGGGGAAGACTGGGAACCTGAAAGCAGATGGTGGAAAATAGGAACATGGTACAGAGGAAGTGGCAAGAAAAAAGAACAGAGACAGGGGAGCTACAGAATAGGGGGGTGTTGCCCAGACGATCTGCAAACCATAGCCCTCCAGTAGACCTGAAGCAGGACCCGCATGAGGGTCTCCAGTCAGTGTGTGGAGTATATGGGGTGCAGAAAACTCCAGTTTGGCAGGAAACAAGACAACTCCCAGAGATGTAGACAGGCACACTGAGGCTCAGTTTGACACCAGCATGGCCATGATCCATCAGTATGAGGCCTGGAAGAGCCAAGCTGCCATCTCCCAGACCTGAGAAAGATAACAGTGGGTCGTGATGAAGATAGGCCCAGGTCCAGACCTCTAAGCTCGCAGATCCCAGCACTGTGACTCTAGGCCAGCAGCAGACTGAAGCTCTGAGTTGCTGGCCCAGGATGGGTAGTCAGCATGGCTGGAACTTTGTGACTTTTGTACAGAGAGTCCTGGAGCTTAGAGCAGGCAGAGGCCTATGGGAAGGTTGCAGAACTCAGACCAGACATGGCCTAACTTTAATGAAAGGCCTGTGTCTCAGCTCTCCACAAGTGCTAGTTCTTGGGAGTCCAAGGCTACAGCTCCCCTTGTTACTGCAGGTAGTAGCACCTGAAGGCCATGACCAGCTACCAAGAGTCCTGTCTTCCAAGGACTGTGTCTTCCAAGGACTTCCTGTCTTCATGGGAATGAAGAGAGAGGCAGAATAAGGAAGAGAGGACAGTTCCAATCTCCATACCCCTGAGAGTCTGGGAGCCCCTCCTCCACACTGCCATCACACCCAGTCAGGGCTGGGTAAAAATAACCACTTCTCTCACACATACCTCGTGAATAACCAAGTGTGAGGCACCCGCCTAGGCAAGGTGGAGGGTGAGCACTGGTTGCCAGCAGCTCTGCTTCCCTTAGGAGTTTGTGAAATGAGGTGCAAATGGAGGGGAGAGAGATGCCACCTCCCCACTGAGGGTGGCTTGCTGGAACCTGTCATCCCCTCTAGCCCCTCCCTGTACAGATACACAGAGGCAGAAGAGAAAAGAGAAACTGGGGAGAAGAAGGGGGTCACGCACGCATTACACATACCCACATACCTACAACTACACAGATGCAAGTACATGCGTGCAAATACATGCACATCACATAATTACACACTCCATACACAAACCTACACACACCACACTGGCTGCAGGATCCAGCTTGGTGTTGTTGATAAGTTGGTAGGGTTGTATCCACAGAGCAGAAGGCATCAGGGCAAGCCCATAACACCCTGTAAACCTGTCTTGCTGTCACAATGGAAGAGGCTGGGCATCCAGAGTAGCTGCACCCACCCCAGAACCCATGAGTGTTGTGTATATTTGTGTATAAAGTTACATGGCACAATGTTGTTATATATGTAGTATTTGTATATGCATCTATGTTCGTGTGTGGGGGGGGTATACCTCTTCTCCCTCCAGCTTCTCTTTTTCCTCCCGACTCTTCACTGCTGCTGATTACCCAATACCTAATCCAGAGAACATGTTTGCCCAGGCTTGCTGCTTCCACCCAGCATCTCCCAGACGCTAAGATCCAGAGAGAAGGAATGAGAAGATGAGTCAGGGTGTTGGGCAATCAACATCAGGATTTCAGGGTGTTTCGTGTTGCTGTTGATTAGTCTCCTCTGCCTGGTTCATAGGCATGAGAACTCTTTCCACTTTCTACGGAAAAGGAAATTTACACCAGCGGAGACAATAGAGGCACTCAGAGTGACTGAAGATCATCCTAAAACCTGAGATCTGCTCTGTATCTACACACTGGGCCAGGCCCACACAATGACCCGATGTGCAGGGCTTGGATTCTGGGTGGAAGTAACAAAAACAGCTTAGAAAGTTAACAGGATAAATGAATGGCAATCTGGCAGACGTGACTGCGTTTTCCAGCTTACTAGAAGGAGATGGGACAGAGTTTCCCTAAAGCAGTTTTGCAAACTGTAGAGCGGCCTACATAGAACACTGTCCAGGTAACACTTTCGAATGGCACATCAGTACACTGATACAGCGGGCTGCTGAGGGGCTGAGACAATGGTCGGAGTCAGATCCCACCAGATCAGAGTTAGGATCTAGGAGCCTTTGTTAGGCCACCTGCCTTTTACGTGTCACAAGGTCACCAGGGGAAGCTTCTGCGAGGCCATATGGACCTGAGACAAGCCCGGGTCCTGAGGATTTGTGCCAACAAAATGAGTTGGAACAAAAAGCTCAACAAAATGAGTTAACCCACAGGAACAGACTCGGGGTAGGATTCTGAAGATCACACACACACACACACACACACTCACTACTCCCGCCTGCCATGCAACTGTCTCTGTCTTTAAAAAGGGATTTAACTGCAGTGATAAAGGTTATCCACTGGGGGAAGAGGGATCACTTGAGGATCTTAGGATAGCGATACCGGGGTGAACATACAACATATAAACCCAGAACAATAAACCCTAGGAAGGAGGCGGTGGCTAGGACAGGCAATTCTACTGCCAAGCGGTCCAATTAGAGGAAACAATTTCCTGATCCTTGTAATTCTATTCATTAGCCTCGGCTATGCAAGAAGTTGTCCTCACCGTGGGAAACAAAAACAGTAAGTACAGTTTTCAGTGAGTTTGCCTGTCAGATAGGTGTGTCTTTCATCATAGCCAATCATATTCATTTGTTTATTTATTTGCTCATTTGCATATTTGCAATAACCTACTGGGGTCTTTATTTGTGATGCCTGCATGAGGTTGAGGATGAATCAGGTACTTAAAGTTTGATTTCACTAGTATCTACGTCTACCGCCACCTCTAATCCTTGCAAGAATCCTGAACATTTGCTACTGTTATGGGTTCTTCAGGAAAGGCCCTTGTAGATTCCAGAGAGGGCAGTGATACCCACTTATTTGATTTCTTTAAATTCTTTTGTGTAAGAATGCACCTTAACTGTGCCTTCCTCCTTCTTTTCACCCTCTTCTATCCACGTCACTTGGCCTTCCCGTGCCCCTTCTTCTTGTCGGCTGTCACTCGTCACCAGGAAACTACACCAGGATCTGCAGGCTATGCAAAAGCAAGGCACCATCCAACTCCTGGGTGGTGCCCGGTGCGCTCCCACAGGTATAGAGCACCTGAAGCCTGGCTGCGCCCAGATGACCTTCATGCCCAGCTGTGGAGACTCCAGAAGCCTTGATTTGTCCCCTGCCAATTTCCATGGCACCAGTGAACTGTGACACTGGGAGGCTTCACGGCAGAGACCCAGGAACATTCCAGCATTCTCTAAGTTCTAGTTCCAATGGGACCACCAACCTTCAGAGTCACTATGATCCAGGCTCAGCCCACATGTCTTCATGGCTCCTCCAAAGTGAAAGTCAAAGATTCCTCCTGTGGGAGCTACAACTCCAGAGATTTCAAAGGTGGCCAGAGTACAGAATAGCAAGACCTCTGTGTGATCAGCCAGGACTACAGCATCTCAGACACCCACAGACAGTCCCAAATTCCTAGCCTTTAACCAATGGCCTCCAAACCAACTCCTGTAACTTCCTGATGTTTGTCATTAGGAGAGCACCAAAATAAATAAATAAATAAATAAATAAATAGGCATACACACTATGCGTGGAGCATCCTTGTCTGAGAATGTAATGTGGCCTGAACTACAACATTATGGTGAGAGGAAAGAGTCTGGAATAGCTTGCTGGCTCCTCCATCACAGGCCAATCTTACAGTAAGAGAGAGACAGTAGTTCGAACCCTGAGCCCAGTCTTTGGCCAGGTTTCTCTGTAGGCTTCACAGTCCAATTTTCTGTAAAATAGGCATGAGAGGAGCAAGCAGCCAGGGGTAGAGTCCCTGCAAAGTGCTAGGCTTAGAAAGGCCCAGCAAATGCCCCATTCTGGAGCAGTGTTTATCTCCACGGTGAGCAAAGAGCTCAAAGGAGACAGGTGGCTCAGGTCTAAGAGGCTTGTCTCAGTAAAGCTCCTTCTAAGCGGATTCTCACAGCAAGGTGACAAGCCCCCTTTCCTGTATTCCTGCCAGGCCTGTGTGAAAACACCAGGCCCATCAGGTGTGAGTCTGATAGGCAGAGCTTCTCTGGGGACAACCCAGGCTAATCAGAGCCTGTGTCCTGTCAAGGGTCAGCTTTCCACCTCCCTTTCATAGCTGTCCTCCTCCTCCCTCCCTTCCACCCCCCCTCCACTTACCCATTCCTAGGGAGAACAGATGCAGCACTGGGTCCCAAGGCTCAAAGAGCAAGGCCCTCTGACATCTGAGAGGAAGAACGGGAGGTGACAGGTGTAAGAGTCCATTCATGGTGCTTTCAGACCCTCTCAGGAGCTCCTCCTGTCTGAAATCCCTACCTTCTTGGCAATGGGAGGGCTGGGAGCTTCTGTTGCTCAGCCTTATATCCCCTCTATTCTCCCTTGAAAGAAACAATGAAACCCACGTGAGACTTTACCCGTCTACTTGGCTCTATAGGAGAAAGAAAGATAAGGGTTCAAAGACAAAGCCCATCCCATTCTCCCAATGGGCAGAACGATGAAAGCACACGATATAAGCCTCAGTATCCCTGAGGGGAGGGGGACAAGATAGAAGGACTCAGCTGGTCCTTGGAGAAATGAGAAGTTCTGGGGGAGGGGGGAGTAGGGACTACAGTGCCACAGTCCAAAGCTACTTCCCGAAAAAGGTCCGCCTTCTGGGGACACCAGCCCCAGAACAGCCAAGGTCATAGGAATCAAAAAGGAACTATGATCAGGTGCCTGCTCCTCCCCAACGCACCCCACCTCTGCCTCACGTATATTCTTTGCCTAGGGAATAAAGGAAACCCTGAGTCTACTCTAGTAGCAAAACCTGGAGTTTGCTCACTGTCAGACCTCACCAAGGCCCATCAACCCAAGAGGTGGATACTGATTCTCACAGACCAAGCATCTCCTTCCTCTTCCACTGGCTCCTAGCATCAGCACCATGGACTTTTAAACATTCCCAGTAGTGAAGAGTTTTGTTCACGAAGAACAAACAGGAACTCAAGCATTTAGAAGTGATTGTAAAATAATAAGATATAGTGATGCTTTGCTTATGATCTAATAAATCTTGCTTAAAAATCAGAGTGCAAAGCTAGCCTCACTAGTCATCTATACCACCAGGCAGTGGTGGCACACACATCTAATCCCAGCAGCCACACTAGTTAGCCGTAGAGGCTGGGCAGTGGTGGTGCACACCTTTAATACCAACACTAGAAAAAAATATAAGGTGGAATGAGACAGGAACTCGCTCTCATTTCAATCGGAAGATTTCGTAGAGGTAAGAACTTTCTAGTGGTTGGTTGCTTTGCTTTTCTGATCTTCAATTTGAATCCCAATATTTGGGTTTTTATTATTCATGCTACATTAAGTCTACAAGTCACATATTGATGCCTTTCTTAGGTCCTTGAAGAATCTAGGCATGCTTAGAGGATAGAGTAGGGTTATTAGAGAACGTGTATGATTTCCATGGCAACTAAAGGAGTCCATGGTCCCTGAAGGGCTGGGATGCTTGGTGCAGTTGATAGAGCATGAATATCTGAGACAGATTTGGGGATCAAGTAATGGCTCTGTCACACATACATTTATGTGACATTAGATGAGGTCAGGTGGCTTCTCAGAGCCTGAGTACCCCATCTGTATAACACTGTAAATTTCCGTCACATCTTCCGGATTCTCTTCATAGCAGTGGTCATAAGGACCAGAAGCCTTGGCAGCATAGTGAGTACTTGCTACCTCCTCAGCACTAGAGGGAGACTGAAGAGCCTGGCCCACCTCCCTTTGGTGTGTTCACGGCGGGGGGGGGGGGGGGCATGTATATTTACATAGATAGGATTACATGTAGATGAGGAAATTCACATGCAGACTGTGTGTGTGTGTGTGTGTGTGTGTGTGTGTGTGTGTGTGTGTGTACAAATGAGTCCACACACAGGATAGAACTCATATGATTACAGATAGCCGTGTGAACATGTATGAGGGAAAGAGACTGTGTCTTAGCATACTCTACTACAACCTGTGGGTTGTGACCCCTTTGGCAAACATCTATCCCCCCAAATATTTATATTATGATTCCCAGCAGTAGCAAAATTACAGTTGTGAAGTAGAAATGAAAATAATGTTATGGTTGTGGGGTGTTCACCACAGCATGAAGAATCATATTAAAGGGTTCCAGCATTAGGAAGGTTGAGAACCATTGCTTTAGTTGATCAGATGAAGGTAAAGATGTGTTGACATATTGACGGGGTGACCTGAAACACACACAGGTTGGGAGCTGACATTCTAAGTCATGTTTATCAACAGCTGGGCCAGCTGCTGTAAGTCCATCGGAAGAAGAGCTGTGAGACCCTGAATTAAAGATGGCCCAATGTGGAAGGGCATACAAGGAGGCTAGGAGCTCATAAGTCAATCACCCTACAGGGGTGATGGGCAGAAGGGCATGCGAGGAGTCTTGGAGCTCATGAGACACCCTATAGTGGTTATGGTCATTTGGGGTTCAGGCGAAGTGGTATATGTGAAGCTGCCCAAGAGTAACAGTCAATCCCTGAGTTCCACACAGGTGATTTCCCTCCCAGAGGCACCAAACCAGCCTTCAGGCAGCACACAGACTCTCTACACTATAAAGTCAGGATTATGGTACATAATGAGAGCCACTAGGGAGAGCTGCTGCGTTTGTGTGTTTTGAGGACAGGGTCACATCTAGTCTTCTCAAGTACCCCTTCCCCCACTACCTGAGACTTTCCTGCTTTTAGTATTAAAAGTCTTGCAGTCCTGGAAATCCCCAAGGCATGGGTCAATGCAGATGAGTGGCAGGCCCTCCTGCAGATCTTGTGCATTTGTGGGCAGGGGAGCCTCTTTAAGGAAAGGACTATAGGGTAAGTATGAAATTACAGTCAGTTCTGGAAGAACAGGTGAGTGACCGAAGGACCTAAAGTTTAAAGTTTCAATAGTTTTGTGACTATGTACCTAAATCACAGAAAGTTTCAACTTGACAGCCAACACAAACCAGATATGGCTCCAACCTCTGCCCCTCTTTGGATAGGTGAGCCTATGCAGTGGTTTGAATGAAAATGGCCCCTAGAGGCTCATGCGGAGTGGCATTAGTCGGAGGTATGGCCTTGTTGGAGCATATGTGATCTGTGTGTCACTGGAAGTGGGCTTTGAGGTTTCAGAAGCTCAAGTCAGGCCAAGCGTCTCTCGCTCTTCCTGCTGCCTGCCTGTCAATCAAGATGGGGAACTCTTGACTCTTTCTCTAACACCATGTCTGTCTGCATGCCACCATGCTTCATGCCATGATGATAATGGGTTAACTCTCTGAACTGTGAGCCAGCCCCACTGAAATGGTTTCCTTCATAAGAGTTGCTGTGTTCATGGTGTCTCTTCACAGCAACAGAAGCCCATACGAAGACAGTTTAGGTAAGGTTTTTTTTTCTTGGTTTTAAAACTTTACTCTGTAAAGCATGAGCAATCACACCAGGAACACTGTGCAGGCTAAATGAGACACAAAGTTGAGAGTATGTACACACACACACACACACA